TTTACCCCCTTTTAAACTTAATGAAAGTGTAGCATCTGTGGACAGTGTCCCACAACTTGCTCTGTTCTAGTGCCCAGCTACCCTCTGGGTGCAGCACTGACATTTCCTCTGTTTGATTGTAATTAACACGATTTGTCATCATTTGGTATGTTCACCTAAATGTAAACTTAGCATAATAAACTAGAACAAAGGGAATGACTGATGAAATAAAATGTTGACAGCCATCTCTTAGCAACCACAATGACCAGAGTACAGATTTGAAAACATTGCTGTTTCTTAAGGCAAAAAAGGAAAGAAGTTTTTTTGTTTTTTTTTTTTTGCAGTGACTGCAAGAGATTACAATTTTCATTGAGTTCAACTTGATGATGATTTTGCTGCCTCTGCTTTTCCTTGTGTTGGGCTGGGAACAGGTTTGCAATCTCGAGGCCACATATGCTTGCCCTGGCAAGTGCCCTTGGTACATCAGCTGAAGTGCTGATGTACCAAGGTATGTTGCCTGGGGCAGTGTGTGCTTCTATAAAACTGTGGGAAACACACTTATATGTTTTTGTATTAATGTATGCAAGGAGACCATTTCTGAAGGTGTGTAAGTTGCAGCAAGAAGCAAGCTTAACAGTTTCCCTATTCTTTTATTGTAATGAGCCAGAACAAAATTCGTAAGAAATGAATTATGTCTGTGATGGAGAAGGGGCTTATGTTTAAGGAATAAAATAAATATATTTGGATTGTTTACTTTTCTGTGCTTTAAATTATGTCTGCATTTGTTTTTATTCAGATAACCCCCAGTGAAAGTCATGGCTTGTTATATATGTTAAATGCTTTCTGCTAGTCATCTTTGTTCCACGAGTTGGCTAATTTACAGAAAGCAATTTATTTCTCTTTCTCCCCTGTCAGTTGAAGTAAAATGAAGCTAACCAACAGAACTGCAGACTACGATGGCAAGACCATGAAAAATGCAGGTTTTCAGAAGAAAGATCTGACCAGTGGCTTTTCAGGGATTTAGCATGTTCTGCCAAAACTTGTCTCATGGTGATTCACTAGCTAGGAAAAAGGAGTTAGTTCTGAAAATTGGAAAGGCAAGGATGCAAGACGGGAAGGGAATCTTTCCTCTTTTCCGTCCTTCTGTTAGAAGGGTTAAGTTCAGAACAACAAATAAAGTTCAGAGGAAGTTTTCCATCATTGATTTCATTTGGTGGACTTGGCAGAGTTAGGTTTATGGCTTGGTTCGATTTTAAAGACATTTTTTCAACGTGGATGATTCTATTACTCACTGAAGGTGTTGCACTTTCTTGTTGTATTTCTCACAAGACTTTGAACAATCCTTCTGGTTATAAAACTATGAAAACAGCAAACACAGCAGCTGTATTAGTACCAGAGTTGTGTGTTCCCCTTGTTTATAGAAGGGCTCATATGAGAACAGTTACCTTCTTGTGACTTGCCCGTTGACTTTTTCATCTGCTTTTTAAGTTACAGTCCCTTGACTAAGGGGGTTTAAATGGATGGGGGATGATGGGGCTTTAAATGGAGCTCAGAAGAGACAGCTCTGACATGTCCTTTGGATTCTAGGTTTCATGAAGATTTAGAGGTTTAGGGGCTGAGGGTTTGCTTCTGTAATGTTGATTATTGAGATAACAGTGTTGCCATTAATGATCAGTCCTTGGAGGGGGTGTATCAAATTGTACTCACTGCAGAAGCATGAAGAACTGTAGTTTTAGCTTTAATGATGTGTTTTTCCACTTACTGGTAACTATAGAAGGGTTCTGTCAAATTGCTTGTCTTTTTTTTTTTTTTTTTTAACTGGGTGAAATACTTGGAAAATGAATGCATAATAGGGGAATTTAAAGAATGAATAGTTTTTGCAAGGCCTACTGCTTACAGTGAAGAGTGGACTAATTCATTTTCCTAATAAGGCTGCTCTGGAAGTTGGAATGTTTTGAATTACATTAAATGTCATGAAAGTATTCATCAGAGAGGACTGTCTTTTGGTATGTTTAGACAGCAAATTTGATCATGTTTGGTAAAAATGAGCTGTTTACACAAGCTAAATATAGCTGCTTTTTTTTCCCCCTGCCTCCAATAAAAAATGAATGACTTTGATATAGAAGCTGTGCAAAAAATTATGAACTTTTCACTAATAGTTTGTCAGTAAGCAATGACTGCAGCTGCTTTTTTTGGTGTTTATAATAATTCTTATGAAGTTTGATACAATAATCATTTGCCAAGGTCTTTTGTGTGAGTTGTTTATAATAAGCCTGAAATACTGAGCTCTTATGTCTTTGCTTTGTTTGTATGTTATTGAAAGTATTGCATAAACTAATATGCTGAACTGCTAGTTTTAAATCATTCAGAAAATACCATGCTTCAAGCCATCCAGCTTTTTCTATTAAGTAGCAACAGGGCAAGTGTGTCATCTCATTCTGAAAACCTTTGTCATCAGTTATTCATACATTCAGTGGGACCAAACCTGCATGAAATCCTACTATGTTTAATTGCTAGGTGGCAAGTGAAGTGCTAACAGCTAGGGAATATGCATGATTCTGTGGTTTAATTACTTTTTGGCTGTGCAGTTCAGTGGTATCTATGAAAATATTGTGGGAAATAGCCCTGAAGGAAGAATTTTCTTAAATGTGTGTGTTGGATGTGTTTTGCTTTTTGACTTGAAGTGTGCATTTCCTTTCGTACTGTCTTGTCTAACTACCATGCATTTTTCACATTATGATCTTGGTGGCTCAGTTTGCTGGGTGAGCATTTTCCTTTTACAATATGGGATAAATCACAGATTTTTTTAGTCTGATTATGGTCTGAAGTCAACAAGGCCAAGTTAAACTGTTTTAAGTATGTCTGGGGCACACAAATTTATGTCCTTGGTTCAAGTATGTTTCCGGGGAAAAGTTTATGTTGTCTGTCTGTTTGAAAGGAACATCATGGACATTTTGGTTATCAAGCTTTTTATTTTTTTTCCACCCTCTTTTTGTATGATATGTTTGAGGATGAATTTTGACAACTGTCTTTTGGTTGTCTGGTAATAATAGCATGGAATAATTTTTGCTCAGTACTGTGTTGATGAGTATAGAGGCAATGTCATCCATTGCAAACTCAAATTTTATTCTTTTGTAAAAAACAAAGAAAAAGAAATATTTTCCTTTTATGTGACTTAAGCAAAAGTCCAGCATTAGCAAAGAGAAGTTTTTTTCCTCAAGTGTGAAATATGGTAGTTGGCTTGAATAATCAACGTCTTCCTAATTCTTCCTGTTGGTCCAGCTTAATAGATACATAAAACATTTTCGGTTACTGTATTAAAAATGAACCAGTGTAGCTAAGGTAGAGATGGTCTTAAAAAATAAAGAAATGTTTCCATATGTATTGGCATTATTTTCTCCCTTCTTGTTGCTTTTGTTGCTGCAAATTGACAACTCTGCAATTAGGAGTGATTAATGATGCACCCCAGCGCTGTGGAGGGCCAGAGGTCAGGCTTTCATAGGCTGCACACTCTGTGGGAAAGGGGAGAAGGGACCTGTTCCCCGGAGCAGACAAAACCCTCTCTCTGTTAAGAATTGCTGTTGATGTGGACATAATGTGTGTCAGCAGCCATGCACCAGTGGGGAAGGCCAAGTGCAGAACATCTTCTCATGCTCTGCAATTTTTCCTTTATTTTTTCCTTCTTTTTATTTTTTTCTCCCCTCCTGTCAGCATGGCATCTGGGTTATATATATTTTCCTTTTTTGTAAGGTAGATACTGAACTTGCATTAGGATTCCTGTTGCTGGGATCCGATGAGCTTGAGGGCCAAATGACTTTGAAGGAAGGAATAAAAATTGTGAACAAAATAGTTAAGGGGAAGAAAAAAGAGGGCAGAATGGAAAATTTAAAAAAGAGTTGTTAAACGGGAACAAGTATGCCTAATTCAATTGTAGCTGTCCATGTTTTTCTGAAAAGATGGTTTATACAGCAGAAGTGGTTTTAAAATTGTGGCCTCTGTTAGCTGATTTCCAGTTAAATGAACCTTTTTGCCTCCCTAGCAAATTGTCTTTTGGAAATGAGAACCCAGATGCAGTTTTTCCAAACCTTATTCAGAAGATGTATTGGAAATATGACACAAAGGTGTCAAAAAGCCAATTTTGTGTGAGAACAGCATGAAAACACTCACATGTACCAGCACCAATGTTTGCAAACAGAATGTTACCGTATCAGATTTTTTTGCTGGGTTTTTAATATTTTTTTATTTTTAGTGTATGTGTGTGTATTTTTGCATATAAGTATATGCAAATCTGAAAAAAAACCCCGATTGAATGAGATGCTTTTTACCTGTAACACATAGCCATTTCAATTTAGATATAACAAAATCTGACAATTCTTTATCTACTTAATCCTTTTCATTGCCATACTTCCTTTCTTTCCCACCAGCACACAGTAGTTTCAATGTGCCCATTGTTTGGGAGAAATTTTTTTGCCATTACTGTAGAATTGCAGTGACATTAACCTTATTTTTGAAAACCAAAGACTGTGTAAAACGTTTCTGTATTATTTAACTTGCCAAGTTCTTTGGGAGGATTTGTGTTATTCTAGAAGGAAGTGTTCTGTTTTAGGCCTGTATATCAGCAATGCACTATTTAAAATATAAATAGTGATAGAATGATAAATTGGTGAGAGCTGTGGAATTATATGACAGTTTCTTGTGAAAGAATGAAAAACAGAAAGCATATTGGAGTTGAAGTCTCTGAAGTGATGATACAGAATTTTGATTTATAAATCTAATAGTACTTAATGCTAAATGTGAGACTTCGTAACATTGTACCTGGACAAATTAATTCAGTTCAATATTGCCTTTTTGTTATATTAACAACAGCGTTGTAGATTTAACTTGAAAACTTCTTGTTTCCTATAGAGGAAAAAAAATTAAATATTTTATGTATGTATAGGTGGATGTGGTGAGTAGAACAGTGGAATACTTAAAAATTAAAGAATTCTTTTTTTACAATTATGTTTGTTTTTCTTTTCCAGAGTGTCTTCTATACAAAAACCTGATCATTTTCATGTGACAAAGGTATGTTTATCATCAGAACTAAGAAATGTAGCATGTGGCACTAACTGTTACCCATCTGTCAAACCCTGTTGTGGATAAGCACTGGCATTCAGACTTCCAGTATATGCTTGTTTTCCATGTGATACGTTAAGAGTATTGCAGCATTTGGATCTTTGATTACTTTTTTTCCCCTCCTAAAAAAGAATAGAGAAACCTGGAAATTATTATAAAAAAAGGAAAAAAAAGGTTAATAAATGTTATTCTCCAAAGCTTGGAACCCATTTTTTTTTAAGATATTGCTGGTGTTTTCCCTCTGTACCTAAGAGAGAAACAAGCAGGTAGTTATTTTGGCAATGCTTTTAACATTTTTTTTGTGGGGACTTGTTTATTTTAATGGATACTGAAATCTTTCCTGGTATTTGAGAGAAGCTTATCCAAATACTGTAATTTCAGAGAACAAGTCCCCTCACTTTCCTTAAAGCCCTGGAGAATTATTTGTTCTTGAGTTCTAATTTTTTATTCTATGCAACAGTTTCAAGACCTTCTTGCTGATAAAAATACTGTTTACAAATTTGAAATTACTTATAAATAGCTTGTGCTTGAAAAGCCTCTCCAGTGGACATAATTAATGTGTAGTATTATGCTGTTCTGCTGACCATGACCTTTAAAGGCCACAGTTTGAGAACAACAATGTTAAAACGTAGTTCCCAAAACAAAAACCCAAGCAAACAATAAAATCAGATTTCTTAAGTATTACCTGACATGGGTATGTAGAGACATTGGGGAGTACTGCTCTTAAAGGTCATAGCAACAGATCGGTGTGTGAACACTTGCACATTCCATTTGTGTATGGGGAACGTGCATATCTCAAATTGGGTTTGAGACATGGAATGTGGATTTTTCTATAAAGCTCTGTTTTTTTCCACATGACTTACCCAGTGGGTTTTGCAACAGAGTGGTTTTTCAGTTTCTTGTGAGTTTGATTTGTGGAGTGTCTGTTTTGGATATGCCAAGAGGAGCTAGCGTTGTGGAATTTCATATTGATTGTGCATGTTGGGATCATTCCCTCTCCTAAGATGCACGGCTCAGGTTGTTTTCCCATACATTTCATGGCTGCACTCTTGGTAAAGCTTGCTTCTGTGCTTCATGCTGGGTGGATCATCTCCCCCGAGAACAGCTAAAACCCCTGCTGAGGAATGTGCATGCGTTTGGCGTGGTTTTGTGTGTTTCTGTTTTGTTTTTCATCCCACATAGGCAGAACCTACCGAAGTAGTTAAGCCTGTGCCCATTGCCTCTGCTGTTGCACCCAAAGTCACTGCTACAGCCAGCGTGGCTTTCAATAAGACACCGAGGCCGTTTGGGGCTGTAACCTCCTCCAAGGTCACCTCCATCCCATCACCGTCCTCCGCCTTCACGCCGGCGCAGGCGTCGGCCGCGTCCTCGTGTGCCGTGCCCGGAGTGCATGCTAACGCCAAGCCTAACGCTGAGCCATGGCCGCCTGTGCTGGGCGCTCCTAAACCTGCAGTTCCTGTCCCACGGCAGCACGGTGCCGCCCCGAGCGCCTCGGCCACCGACGGCGCCCAGGACGCAGCCGAGGGGCCGCGACGAGGAGGCAGAGAGAACCAGGGGGAGAGTAAACAGCAAAATGGGTAGGTGGGATTTTGTTTTTGCTGTGAGGGTCTTTCCTCACAGGAAAAAAGCCGGGCTTGTTTGAGGGCTGAGGAAAACACAGCTTGGAGGAGTTGTTTACTCCTCAGAAGTCGATCTCTCAAAAAATTATTTTAAAAGTGATGCTTCAAAGGGCCCCAGCTAGACTTTTGGTGATGGTGACACCTCAGTTTATAGAGTGTCACAGCTAAATTGAACGAGGACCGTGGAATGCTTTACATGACGTGTTCTATCACCACATTCTGGACCTTACAACAAGCCTGGTATTAATTTCAATGTCCAATCTCACTGTGTATTTTGACACCCAATACAGTGACTGAAAGCAGCAGGCACTCAAAAATGCAAAGCAGTCTGTCAAGAAGGGTCAGTGGGTGCTGTGATGGCTGGAAATGAGACGCTGTGGAAGAACAACCATGACCCTGGCAAAAGCAGTGGAAAAAGGCCCCAGAAGAGAGGCAAAGGGACAGAAGTCTCATTAATTCTTGCACAACACAGGACAAGCTTTAAGATGTTTTCTAGGAAGCTGATGGAGTTAAGCGGATTTTTTGCAGTGATGTAATATAAATACCTCAACTTTAAATTTTACCTTCACCCTAAACAAACAATGCAGATTTAAAATGTGAGTAATTTCCTTATTCAAATAATTGTTTATGTTGAAGTGGGCATCGGAGATGGAACATTTAAGGGGTTGTAGGAGACATAAAAGACTTTATCTAGTGTAGCATCTATACTAGTAAACAATAGATTAGTAAACTAAATTGAGCCCAGCAGCAGTCCTGGGAACTCAGACCTGCAGCAGGATTTTGCCTGGGGATGCCTTGGACTTTCCCAGAAATTCCTGGGCAGAGTTTGGGAGCTGTAGCGCCGCCGCAGGGACTGGTTCCCAGAGCCTGCTATGCCGGGGGAAGAGGAGGAGGCTGGGCATGAACAATCCCATGCCAGTTGGCCTCTGGGATCAGCAGTTGAATGAAATAATAAAAAGGGCAGGAAGGGAACAGTAGGTTTCTCTTCAGGTTTAAGAAATTGAAACCTGGGCTTAAAAGCTAAAAGCTGTGGTTACTATTTCCCATCCCACAAAAGAAAGGGACTGGAAGAATAGGCCTTGTGCCTCTCTTCTCTGATACTCAGTATAGAAAATATATTAAAAACCCTACAGAAAGGTAAATATCCATGCCAACTAAAATACTGAATAAATTGCAGTTTCAGTTGAGTTTCTCATGGAGTAAAAAAACTACTTCTTTAGGTACTTACTCCCTTTATGTTGTAGTATGAATATTTTCCATGTGTGGACTCATAATGCAGCCCGTATGCATTTTATATTGCACTGTAGCCATGGTAACTTCCAGCCCTTTCTTAAACAGATGATGGCAGGAATCCACTCTGCAAAAAGTGGATTGAAATTGAGAGACCTCAAGGACTTGCTCACTGCTGGTGCAGTTGTTGAATACACTTTGGCAAACTCTCTCTTATCTTTCCAGGAATACTGCTTTAGCAAATAACTGTGTAAGGAGTATTCAAAAGCAGCAATTAGTACTGAAAAAGAGGAACAACAGCAACAAAATTAAGTCTCCAGAAAGGAAGTGCTGCAGGCACAGAGTAAGCACTTTGCAATCAAGATAGGATGACTGGGTGAGCACTGCTATGTGCCCTACCTTATTTAGAGGATGAATAATACCATCAAAGAGGATGAATAATCACAGCTGAGAGGCGAAGAAATCCCTGTCTCACTGTCAGCCTTGCAGATCTAGTTTAAAAAAGTTTGAAAGCATTTCGGAGTTTTAAAAACCTACTTTACTTTACAGTCCTTCTTACAATATTGTGCTTGGGCTGCCTAAATGTCCTGCAGTCCTAAAGCAAAAACAAAACAGAAGAAAGCAGACAAACCCACTAAGGTGGTTATATTGGTCTGCTGCTGCACAGCTTTATTTTACCTTAAAAAGTTAAGTTTCCACAATGATGCTTGGATATCTCCCAATTGAAAATGGTATCCATGACATCTACCAAATATCACAAACATTGCAATAATTGATCAGTCTGAAATGAATTCCATTTTGCTTCTGTGGCCTGTATGATTCATTTTCTCAAAACATGCAAAAAAACAACTTGTACCTAGTTCATAGATGGCACTGCTTAGCAAGTGCAGTTCTTTAGACATGCACCTTGTTATACTCACAATTTCCTCCCTTCCTCTTGGCTTCCCTCAAAAGCATTCAGGATATAAACTATTTGACTTCAGGATGGGAAAGGAAGTTTAATTTCCCTTGTTTAGTTCTGCCTTAGAAAGCAGAAAATTTGCCTTCACTAGCCTATGTGCAGTTGCACTTTTATCAAGACCTTTTTGCCAGCTCTTGCAAGGAGATGTGCCTGCTGCTTAAAACAGGTAAGATGTCTGTAGACTTCACTCAGTTTAAGTTCACCTGGGCTAAAATTTTCTCTTATAGGTTCTCTTGATGTTTCTAAGTTTGACTTACGTGATATAGGGCTGTACCAGAGCTTGGATTTGGAAACTCCTGTACTATTTTAAGAAGCAAAGAATTAATTAACGCATCAAATACTTTTTTTTCCCTTGCAGATAGCAGCAGCGACAAAGTTAGTATCAACAGCACTGGATTTGAATGATGGTTATTTTTTACTATTGGAATAACCAGCATGTATTCTGATTTTGCAAAATTACAGCTCTTACAGAGCTGCATATTTAAATTTTGCAAAACAGCTTCAGCTTTTCTTAGTGTAATACATTATTTTATGTGCATTGGACATGATGTGACTTTGCTTTTCACCGTGCTACATTTTGCAGCTCATATTTATTCTACAAAACATTTGTGTGGTGTTCGTGTGTACTGATAAGTTCTTGGTGTGACTGTGGTTCAATTGGTGATGGTAATACAACTAGTAAATGGTGAAATACAGTATAAGATACAACTCCTTTGAGAACTGTGGAATGAAGGGCTGGTTTCTGAATTGATACAGGAAAAGAAAACGTCTATATACTCTGATTTATGCATATTAGGATGGTAAACGATTGAGGTTTTATTGGCTTCTCTCTTCTCCCCTTGCTTCAAGGCTGAGTCAAGAGAGAGCCTGTCTCACTGAGTTTTCCTTTGTCTCTGGCACCACCTTGTTGCCTCAGTGAGTCATTACTAGTAGACTCTTAAGCCTTAAAAAGACCAGTAGGACAAGAGAAGTCAGCAGGATTTTTTCTTTATACCGCTTGGGTATATAGCAAATGTGAAAGACTGCTTATTTCACTGGGATACTTGCTAGAATGCAGTAAACTGCATGTAAATCATTATGTTTTCGTGTATTTCCATACCTTTAATTACTGCTTCAACTTTCACATTTCATTTTTGCTATTAACTGTTTAAGATGCTTTATTCCATTTTTCTGTTCTCCATCCTGAAATTGTCACTGCCGTTGTTTCTATATCTCTTTCTCTGTTATGAACTTTGATATGTGATACATGCTCTTCACTAATACTGTGTGTCAATAAATTCACTCTTTTGATATAATTCTGTACTGTACTTTTTACACTCTTTCAAGTATTAAATATTTTTAAGCTTAAGTTTTTACTAATGTGTTCCATTTAATGGGCCTGATTCTTGTTAACAGTTAACATAATTTCTCACTCATTTTCCACCTTTCTTCCCCAGAAATACTTTGAACAATAAAAATACAGTGAGGAGGTAGTGTTAAAAATAAAATGACTTCTAAAGTTTTGTTGGATTTTGATTTTTAATACTTGCTAGAAATGTTATGTCCTGGGAGCTAGTTTTTCACAGTTTTCCTCCTGTAAATTGTGTAAAAATAAATGTTCACTTAGTGAGTCTTACAGATTAACGTTCTGGAGTAACAAATGTAGAATTTAGGAGTAATTTTTTAAATAGTTTGAGTCTTCTGTTTCCTTTTTCCAAATTTCCCAAATTAACACCTTCTTTACATCACTTACTTAAAGCTTTTAGATCCTGTACTCTTGAAAGTCTTGCTAGTGCAAGGATTGGTAATAGTCTGTAGGTTACTGCAGGGAAAGTTTCCAGATGAAACAATCACCCCCACTCCTTTTCTTTCTAAGAGGGTACCTCCTCATTATGCCTCAGAACATGGCCATCTATGCTTTCAGGTGGCCTGGTTCTGATCTAGGCTTTGCCAAGTGCAAACCACTTGGTGTGTACGGGTGGTCCTTGCGTGTGCACACATCTTTGCTGTGCTCTTTGGGAGGTAAAAGGAGAATTTGTCAAGGGACACCTGATCTGACCTAGGTGGACTACCCTGCTTTACCAAAACAAATTTCCCTCTCATCCCTATAGGGAAATCACCATGAGTTTAATTTAAAGTATGTGAGTTCTTTGCAGTAGTTTTAGTGGTAGAATAAGAATATGGCCATTATTTGGATTTTAGTGCCCTTTCTTGCAAAACTAATTCAGTAAAATAATTAGCAACATTTCTGTTTCATTTCAGATTTCTGACTTTATTTCTTGTTTTCTTTTTCTCCTTTTTCCTGTTTATGCTGGGAAAACTTTCTCTTGCTGTCTTACTCTGTCACCTCCAAGGAAAAACCCGCCTAAACGGTAAAAGTCTAAATGTGTAGATGTCTGTAGATTGCCTTTTACTGTTTCAATTGTTCCATCAGTGAACCAAGGAGATATATTTCAGTGGGGTTAGAGTAATTACAAAAGGCGTGTTTGGTTCAGAAAACTGTACCTGTGTTTAGCTGGGCCTCAACTGCTGCCTTTAAATGCTGTGAAAAGTCGTGGTTGCAACCGTGCCTTTGTAGCCGGGGCGAGGTGCTGCCCGAAGCCTTGCGCTCACCGCTGTGTCTGTCCCTGGCGCAGCCCCCCGCGGAAGCACATCGTGGACACCTACACGGAGTTCTACCACACGCCCACCCACAGCGACGCCAGCAAGAAGCGGCTGATCGAGGACACCGAGGACTGGCACCCCCGCACAGGCACCACCCAGTCCCGCTCCTTCCGCATCCTCGCCCAAATCACTGGCACGGATCACAGTGAGTACCCCAGTGCAGGTGGGATAATGGGCAAGTCCCCAGATATAAAAACACAGACTGTGTTTCTGAAGCTGGGCATCAGGGAAGATAAATGGAAATATTACTGTAAAACCCTGCCATTACTAAGTAGTTTGGGATATATACGTTGCTGGATGTTATTCCTGATTGAGCTGAGTTAAAATGTTCTAGATAAATCCGAAAATCTCCATTTCTACTCCCAAAGATATTGAAAGGTACACTTTTTTTTTTCTTTTCCCCCCGTATCACCAAAATGGCAACATTCCAGATCAAATTTAATGCTTCAGAAAAATTAGGTGTTTTCTGGCATGTGGAAAGTCTTTGTCAGCCATAGAAAAGTATGCAATATGCAATGATGTAACCAATGAGGAACATAAACCCATAGTTCACTGTTTATTCCTGGATTATGTTTCTACCCTCTGCTTATGCTATGGTGTGATTACGTATATTGGTGGAGTGGAACAGGTGATGTGGTGAAGATCATTCCCAGTCATATAATTTTATGCTAAAATTTCAATTTTGTGTTATGCTGTCAGCCATTATTCACTGGCTGAAATTTGTAATTTTGTGTGAAGGCCACCAGAAGTGCTATCAGGGGTTTTGAGCTCTCATTCTTTAGCTTCTCTCAGCTAGAGCTGCAATAAAGAAGGCATTGAAGAAATTTGACCTCCTCCAAAAGGGGGAGATTTGATTAAATCAGCAATTTCTAGAGGCCAGAGGTAACATTTCCCAAAATAAGGGTTATTGTCTGTGTGTAATAAATATTCTTACTTTGGACCTGATTGTTTTGTCGTCCTGTGTTCAATTCTCTTCATCAGTCCTTGTAAGGGCGGAGAATGGGACTTGAATGTCAAGTAAAATGTTTCCAGTAAAAATGAATTTATCATGTTGACAAATGCTTTCAGAAAATTACTGCAACTAGAATCAGAACTGGGAATTTTTATTATCCCTTGTGCAGACCTCTAGAACCTTGGTGGGAAATAGCCTGGCTGCAAACTGATGCTTGGATTATCACCTGATATAAACCCACTGGATATTCATCCAAAAGAAATACCTCTTAACTTGCATTCATCTTCACCTTCTCAAATCACCTTTCTCCATGCCAGCATGGAGAGTGGGCCAAGGGGAAGGGCGGAGACCAGCAGAACCACTTTTCAGCAGTCCTACTAGCAAAGGGGCTCTTGAAGTTCATGGACATAACTCATGGTCCTTGGGGCAGATTTAGAATCAAAGAATCCTGACAAGCCTTGTTGTAATTTTCTGTTGTAGTGAGTGCACTGGCACAGCAGAGAATCTCAGTGTTGTGGTACAGTGTCTTTAGTGCCCTAGAAAATAAAAATTTTCTGTTTTCCTTCAGTGAAAGAACCAGAAAATGAAGCTGGGAAGAAGACTAAGTGAGTTGATGTTTTACATTTTTATTACTTAAATACTTTGCATGTTTTAATTCTTGACTTGTTTAATTCTTAAGTTTGGTGCACTTGTGTGACATCTGGCTGTTTTTAAAATGTTCCTTCCCTTTTTGCCTTTTACTTCAGCATGTCAAAATCGAGATCTTTTTCTCCAAAGACATTTAAAAGCTGTTGGTGTAGTCCAGTAATAATGTTTGTGTAGAGATTTTCTGTCAACTTGAACTGGTTTGGTTGCCTGTACGAAGTCAGCTTGTGTTTTCCTTTTGCAAGTCTCATCAGGCATTTTTAATTTGTGAGTGTGGATCTGTTTGCTAGACACAGGTGGGAAGTATTGCTGTTCTGGCTGCAAGTGAGGGTCAGCTGTCTCCTTGCTTTGGGATAAGCAGTGTTCAAAATGAGCATCAACCAGTGGCTAAATCTAATGGTTTGTGAAGTCAGTGGGACTTTCTTTACTGACTTTGACTAACACTGGATCCAGGTTTTTGACAGAAAGGAAGACAGTGCGATAGAAATAGTGCATGGAGTTTGCATGCTTACTTGTGAAACTGCTTAAGACAACCTTTCTTTCTTTCTTATTTTTCTTCTATCACTTCTTTCCACAGGGAAAAGGTTCCCATCCACGCCCTTAGCCCCAAATATACAAAATTACGTGACTGGCACCATGAAGTCTCAGCACGTGTTCTTAATGTCCAGTGATTTTGCCCAGGTTGCAAAAGCAAAATACAAACACTTCCTTCCTTTCTTCTTTTCCATCTGCTTTGCAAAAAAAAAAAAAAAAAAGAAAAAGAAAAAAATGAAAAAAGAAAACATATTTCAGTAGCCTTTCTGCGAGAGAAATTCTAGCCTTTTCTATACTTTTCTAACACTTTCCTACTGATGTGTAAAAATGGGATGAAATGTTTTTGTGCTAATCATTAGTTGACAAAAAATACATATTTAAAACTTAACAACTTGGGTGGCTGAATCTCCCAGTGTGGGGGAGGAGATGGCTGTTGCAGTTCATTTTTCTGCCTGAAAGAAGTCATTTGCATTGCTGAGTTTGAGTTACTGTAGGCTGTTAGAAAGCAGGACATTTTGAACAAATGAATAAGAAACTGTGTTACCTTGATTCTGGGGCTGGGGGAAGAAGATGAAGAGGAGATTGTATGCACTTATTTCAAATTATCATACCTACCAGGAAAACTGCCTTGGATTTCACTAGATTTCAGCAGGTCAATTTTAGAGTTGTTGTAAATGTTTTACGAAGTACAGCAAAAAGACAGACTGCTTTAAGCAAAGAAAAAATAATAAAAAAGTCCCAATGTTATGAATTGAAGTGAAAGCTCAATATAAAGATTCTGCGCTTTAGACTAGTAATATGTTCATATTTTGGAAAACTTAAAAAACAATAATTGAGCAGAATGTTGCTGTGCAAGAGCTTCAACACATCTTCTAGCAGGGGCAAGGTTAGGCAGTAGTATTTATTTATTTACAGAGTGAAGCTTACAGGCTTTCTTGTGTTTATGAAAGCTTCACAGCCCTGTGGTTCTCCTGTAAAATAATGTATTATAGTAGCTACACATCCATTAATTTATGCATTTTGAAGTTTGGAGAGTATTTTAATAAAAGTTGCTTTTATCTTAGCTCTGTCTGTTTTTCTTTTGAGTCTCTCAGACTCCTTGAATATTCTTCTCATGCATGGGGCTGACATTTCAATGCACCTTCACAGCCTATAGGAAGAGGAACAATTTAATCCCAGCTGCATAGTAGAAACAGTCTGGATTGTTTAAAACTATCCCAGTATTTTACTTCCTGATAATCTTAAAAATGGGGTATGTGTTTGTGTTGTTGGAATTGACACGAGATTTGCAGGAATCAATAAAATGATTGACCCTTTCAGGGGTAAGAATTATATGAAGTAAGGCTGGCTTTCAGCTTTTGCAGCACTTGTTGAACCAGATAACATTTGAAACTTCGAACAAAGGTGATTGTGAAGCATCTGTAAAAGCCCAGTTTCTCACAACTGCTCATTGAGAACCATTGCAATTGGTTTGGGTTTCTTCAGCTGACCTACACTCTCCTCTGATGGAATTAGTCCTGTGAACAGATGCTTCTGCAGAAGACTTGGCGGTTTGTTTTTTTTTTCCCTGCACAAGATTGGAATTTGAGAGGACCTTTGGACCCATTTTGAGTTTTCTTTTCAGATGGCTTATGCTGCTATACAGTACAGCAGTAGCTTATGCTATTTGTCATTTTATCTTTAGGAAAAGACAAACAGAAAATGGAGACTTCAGGTAATAGATAAGTTATCTAATACTAACAGTCACCAATGTGAATGCCTAACACTGCACAGATTTGCCCTGGTAATGGTAGCCCAAGGGGTATCACCTCTTGCACACTTTTTTTGGGTTAACTCCTTAGAGACAGTAGGGGAAAACATTCACTTCAATAATTTCACTGATCAGTGTTTTGATGAGAAGTGCCAATCGGTTTAATTTCCATGCCCCCCCAACACGTAACTTGGCAGTGAGTACTGTGTTACTAAACTCAAGTGTGTTACTGAGTGCACATACACCACAATATAATAATTAGATAGAGTACTGCATATTAAAGTGGGAATGTGAAGTAGTGTATTTAAATTGTTCTGCTGGGATTATGTAATTTTTTTTATGAACAAAATGAAATGTGAGCATTTCAGAGACCATCAATGCAATGAAAACTGGGAAAGATTAGGAAGGTTATCACTTAGATCCTCTGTAAACATTTCTTTTTAAGGGCAAAATGGTTTGACCCTCAGGTATTTTTATGGTCTGGAGATGTCCCTAGGTAATGAGAATATTTTTATGTTGTTATTAAACTTACCATTATGTTTATCTATTTTACCAGCTCTTATCCTTCAGAAGGGTGAGTTGCTGTAGTGAGAAAAAGAAGAATAAATATTCTCTAAATAATCAAAATAATAGAAGCCTCTGTTCTGAGTAAACATAGTCATAGAGTCTATCTTTCAAGGATCTGAAAGTAGTTTGAAAGCGACAGCGAAATTATTTGTTTTCTGTAAATTCATTGCAAAAACACCACTCATTCCAAAAGTGTTTTATGAATGTGTGAAATTAATTTCATTTGCTGCTTGAAAGATATAATCTCTTCACCCAATATCCCCATTGCACAGAACTTACTGGCGTTAAATTTTGGACTTTTTGTTACTGTTCCCAAAAATGGACCACTGACTCATTTGTATCTGACAAACATGCCCTGTCTCATGTCTGATTCCCAGCATACATCTGATCTTTGAAAACATATTATATATGAGTGTTTTTTTATATAAATGAATAAGCTTAAGTTTTAGAGATCTCCTAGAAATATCATTGTGACAATGAAATAGACTTCTCTTTCATCAGTGATCTTCAGTAAAATATCCCAATTTAATAATATTTAACTTTTCAGGCAGGCATTGTCCAAGACAGATGTTCTGTGTGGTTTTTACTATTGTGTATTTTTAAAATGTAACCCACTAGGGATTTTTCAGCAGATGGAAAGACAGGATATAGAAATAGAAAGCCCTCTCTGAAATGTGTAGATTGCAGCTTTTGAACTAGCTACTTAAAACTTAGGAAGGCAATGTCCAGTCTTTGTATAAAGTTTTTGGTTTAGATTATTTCTATTTCTGCAGTACCCTATTTCCAAGGTGATTTTTTTTAAATGTTCACTTTTAACCATCTCCTTTTGAACAACCAGTTTTGGATTTAGTTTTAGCCTTAAATTGTAGAGTCAAATCATTGTCCTGGATAAGGATTTTTCAGATTTGTAGTTTAGTTAATCCAGAGCAACTGGAAAATATTTGTCCTACTCTTGGTCAGTCTTGAAACAATCTGCCATAAAATCATGTATTTACTTTTTTCTCCCTCATGTCATAAATATATGTAAAGCATACCTGCAGGTCTACCTGATGAAGCAGGAACCCAGGATACCAGTATTAATTTGAATAACAAATCCATAGCTACCTCGACTTTGGAGATGCCATCTGCACCAGAATTTCCATCCACACCTTTACCACTTTTGAGGTCTGCTCCCTGGTCATTCTAAAATCTGTTCAATTATTTTCAGCACTTAAGGTTCCCTACTTTAATAAGAGAATTAATTCTGCATACTAGCATAAGGAAAAAACAAAAAAAAAGGCAGAAATGCCTGCCCCTGTGGCTAATTTAGTCTGCTCAAAACTTATTGTTGTGATTGCTCTCTACCTTGTAGTGTACTTTTTTTGTGTATTACAGTCTGGCAGGTGCTTTTCTTCAAGTAGAGCACTTTAAGACAACATTTTCTAGATTTTTTTTTTCCTATTACAACTGAATCACAGAAAAGACATGAAAAATACTGAGAAATACATGGCGTAATTTTCACAAAACTAACCCCACAAAAAGTTGTAGCCAAAAGGCATATATAAAGCATATATTAAAAAGCATATCTTTGGCGTGAATCCCACTAGCACTTGTGTCACTTTCAGTATTTTCTAAAGTTGTTTTCTATCACATAATATAATCCCAAATTAATGTGTTCCATCTTTGTAAATGTCCAATATTACTTGGCTTTCTGAGTTTTAAAGAAGCAGGACACTCTCAGCCTTCACTGAAAGTGTGGTACTTCTTAAGTGTTTTTTGCATCATTTTAACCTGTTAATTGTATTTTACTATCAGTTTCACAGTCTTTTTGGAGGTTTTTTGGTGTTTGGGTTCTTTTTTCTTCTCAGTTTACTAACACTTTCATGGACACTGTTTCCTGTTCTGCATACTATTTTAATGTAGATTAAAAATCTCTTTCTCTGTGTGTCTTCACTTGGGTTGTTTTTTTTTTTTTAATTGTGAATGGAGTGAAAACAATGCTAGACCAGAACCCGCAGCTGCTCTTTTGCCAATAGCAGATTCCTGCCCTGGCAGTGTCCCCTCTCTCAGACTTTCTGAACATATTGTTGCACCGGCTCCTGCAAGGTAAATCATTCACAGGGGTTTTAA